TCAAGTGCTAGGGCATCTGCTTCGTACACATTGGGGCACATCTGAGGTGGACCCTGTGGCCCTGAGCTGGGGATTGCTGGCGTGGGCAGTGCAAATATGAGGAGCTGCTGGCACAGCAGCTGCAGTGAGGTCAGGATCTCACCTTGCAAAGTACACGGGAAAAAGGAAGAGAAAGAAGATGGCATCAATCACTGCTGTTGGGGGGAATGGCTCCCTGAATTGGGTCTTGACAGTGCAGCTGCTTTTCCCCAGTCTGTGGGGCAGTAGCGGTGATAAAACACTAATAGTGATGGATGAAAATAATTAAGTGGTGTGAAAGAGAGGGGATGAGATGAAATGGAAATGAAATGAAATAGGAAATGAAGAGGAATGGCAGGCAGGAGGAAGAAATTGCATATTACCCCGAATGATATTTTAGGTTATGGGCAGTTTGCTTCAAATCTAGGTGGGCCTCTAGCCCTCATTTCTAACTGAATCAACGACAGCTGTCCAACAAAGAAAGCAGATGAGAAATAATGGGAAGCAGGTCAGTAACCTGATGCTCAGATGTGTACATTGTCATGCAGATTTGACGATATTGCTGCATGGTTAGAAAACAAAATAATCCACTGATGAGTGTTGTATGAAATGCTGTCAATCCCAGGCTTGACATGTTGGAAAGATCTTTGTACACTTCTGATCTGCACCCAGCAATTAGAAGTACTCATCAAGCAACAACAAAAGGTTTCATCAAAGATCTGCCAAGTATGCCCACAGATGAATATTTGTCAAAAATAAAGTGATCTTTTCCCCCATTACTTCGTTATCCTGTGTGACATCCTCTTCCCTAGCAATGGTGCTCACATTTTTCAGCTGAGAACGAGTTATTTGTGCTTCTTGTTGGCTGGTTCAGGCACTTTCTGGTGTGAGGCAATGTATGCTTTCTCTGCTGCAAGTCAACTTTTAAGTGGAAATAACTCTATCAGCAGATGAGCATCTCTGAGGAATCGTGCCCTCCAAAAGAAGGGCTGTTGGGTGTATCCGTTTCTCAGCTCATCAGGGTTAAGGACAGCCACTTCTGTGCCTTTTCTCCTCTCTGCTCAGGAGCCATGAAACCAAACCGGGGCAGGACTGTGTTGCTGCATCCCTGTGGGAGCAGAAGATGTTGGGGTAGGTCTAGTGGTGATCTTCCATGCATCAGTGGCTTGCAGATCCCAGCTGAAGTGAGTGACTGTCCATACTTCACTGCAGGCACCCTAATTCTGCTCTCTGTGACCTGACCTAAAAGCCAAGCTCTGACGTCAGGGATATTGCACTGATGTGAACTGTAGATGAACCATCTGCGACAATGACCTAAAACCCTGGAGTCCTCGCTTCTACTACTGCCTCTACTGAAGTTTTTTAGGATAAACTTGGACAAGTCTCAGCTCTTACAAGCCTTGGTTTCCCACCTGCAAAGCAGAGGATTCAGTTTCTTTTCCTCAGAGCAGCACAGTTTCATGAAGTAGAAATATTTGTGAAGTTAAGTGTTTTGACTGTGGGAGTATTTCAGGGAAGGAACCATAAATATGTGTCAGGCCTATGATCTGAATTCAAACCGGTGAACTAGAAAAACTGTTGACAGCCTTAAACCAACTGCCCTGTACACACATCTCCTTCTGTCTACCTGAAAGATTATTTCTGGAATGTATTTCTATTTTTCTCTGACAAAAAAATAAAATACCAAGCAAAGAAGCATGACCCATTTCTTTGTCAGGCAAGCTCTAAATCCTGCTTACTGGGATGTGACTGAGATATTGATAAAAGAGAAGCTCATTTCAGGCCACAGTTTTCATCCTCCCACTGGAGAAGAAACAAAGACTGCCACCTTCAGATGAAATGAATGTGCTTTCCAAGCCAAGGTATGTGGATCTATCATCTCCTCCACTATTTCTCTATGATCTGTAATTATGTTTGGACCAGACACTGAAACAGGAAAGTGGCAAATGAGAGAAGTTCAGTACATAACTAATCATTTTATAATAGGAAAATATACAAGCAATATAGCACTGAAAGTATCTGCAAACTCTGTTACTGGTGGATCAATAGGTCTGATAAGAGCATCATTCATCACAAACTGTATCATCACCTTCAGTAATTTGTCATGGTCCTTTCTCTGTGTAATGCCAGGTCTGAGCACACACACATCATGCTGTTCATAATTGCTGGTCATTGGACTTTCTCCATGGGTCTTTTTTATTCACATATAACACGTAGTATATTCAAAGCAGTATCAAGTCATACCACACTGAGCTCTTTATTACCTGATATTTTCGGGACAGAAGCACATAATCTAGACTTTTCTGAATCAATAAGCAGATGGTAGCTACTTTTTTTTCTCTTTTTTTCATTATTTTTTCCAACTTTTAAATTTTAGATTTACATAACTTGGTTTCACACATCTGAAGAAGAAACACTGACATGAATCTAAGTTTATCTTTGATGCATTTACAAATATTTTTCTTTTTTTTCCCCTGATACGCCTCTGCCTAGACTTTTGCTAGAAAGCAGGAATTGTAATTTCCTCTTCTGTTGACGTAAATCCCTTTTACCATTTGCAGAGAATGGCATGACTTCCTCATGAGGGTGTGGGACCCATTCACTCCACCACTGAAACGCACTGGGTTTCCATCAGCCAAGGTGAAAAAGCAGCTCTGACATCTTCACTCTACACACTGTTTTACTGCACATATCACCGAAATACATGATCATTGTGACTCCAGGCTGGTTGCATGTTTTTATTATCGTTTTCAATTTGGTTCACTGAAACAATGAAGGTTAGCTGCATCCGCCTCTTAATTTGACTTTATGTTTTATTAGTCATTATTTTTGCAAAGGCCTTAATTCTCCCTCTAAAACATTTTAATTAAAACAGTAATTTCTCAGTACCGCACTTCACAAGCAGATTTTTTGCAGCAACTTCAAAGAGACGCAGATGTTTACTGAATTCGGTGTGGTGATATTTGAGGCTGCCTACTGGCGAAGAAAAATTCATAAACATCTCTAAGAAACTTTCCTGTGGTAATGACAACATTTCCTTCTCATATCTTAGCAAGTCTAATATTTCCCGATCTCAACAGGCATATTTCGTAGACACAGCCATAAGCACTGTTATCGACTCACAGTCTGAGCCATACCACACACATTCCTATGGGTCAAATCCCTCTCAATGCTGATGCCTTAAGAGGCCATAGGTTGGTTTAGAGTGTGTGGGCTGTGTTATAGGGCAGCAGGAGACATGGAATAAGGAAATTGAAGTTCAAGTTCTGTTTGGTTTTACTTAGCCCTCCAAAGTGATTTCAAGAGGCTTTGTGTGCCTCAGTTCCCACTGGTAAAGAGATGATAACACATTCTGGCTTTTAATCACCTTGTGTCTTGGTGGCAGGGTCTACCTCTTAGTGCACCAAGGGCTTCCTATCTCTAGAGGGTTTTTAAAGGGCTGTTAGAGTCAAACAGAGAAACACTAAGGATTTATTTTGGAGGAGTTGCTCCTTTCTTGTGGCAGGTGAGCCTGGAGCAAGTTTGAAGATTTCATTTTGGGACCGCATCTCTGTGTGGGTAACCAGGCAGGAGTGATCTCCGAATTGAGAGGATGGGACTAGGGACACATGGCCATGGCAGACCATATCTAAAACATAGATGAGGGCCTAGGCATCTTCTGTAGTTTAGGCAGGTGTCTGTGGCCAGAAAATCTATGGCCCATATAGCTGGGCCAGCAGGGAGCCTGGTCTCCATGTGCTAGGACCTACAAGTGGCAGTCAGGCTTGTGCTCCTATGTCTTTCTGTGCACGAGAGACAAACAAGTTTCTTTCCTGGATGCTTTATACTGCCATATCTTTTTGAAAGGGAAGTAGTAGACACACTTGGAAACAGCAAATCCATTTCCACTGTGAGCATCAGGCAAGGAACAGCATGGAAATCTGGCATGGAATATGGCATGACACATAGTGTAGGTGCTTTAATATACAGCATAATTACAGTGACAAATTTCTGCCTCTTGAAACATCAGAGATTGAAGTGGTTGCCCTGAAGGAGAAATAAAGTGGGAGAAGTTTGGCCAACTCTAGGTCAGGAAGTGCAGCACATCCTCTGCATTGGATTAAAAGTGATCAGCATGGCCAAAGGCGCCCTGTGAGAGACAGGTAAGCAGACAAAGTGGAAATGTTAAAGAAATGAAGCTGGACTGGATAGAAAATGTTTTACATTTCCCTGTTCCTCTTTGATTTGGTAGCATTAGGTGTACTGAAGGGTAGATTGCGCAGACTTGTGCGTGACAGCGAGATACTTTTCCACATGAATTAACCCCCTGAAATTAATTGGACTGCTCACAAAAATGCCTGGGAATGTGAACTGGGCTCGCACATTTCAGACCTCGGGCTGCATGGTGAAAAGCAACAGCTTAGCCAGAAATGTGAATGCAAACGGCTCACAGTGAGTAGATCAGTGTCTCTGTGGACGCATCCTCACTGAAGAGCATTTCAGCTCAGCTGAATTCACCTTAGTAAGAAACAGACTAAAATTAAACTGGGAGAAACTGTTCCTGAAACGAAAGCAGGGCTCAGACACAGTTTGTTTGCCACAAGCTGTTGTGTGTTTGCTGTGCCCACATGTATGCTTTTAGCTGGTGGCAAATCCTCTCAAGGAGCATTAGTCTGGCCTGCAAGAAGGGAAGCTTGAATTTAGGCTGTTCTGCATGTGCTGTGGGATAAGAGCACACAGCCAGGCAGTCTCTTGCGTGCGGGTGTGCCTGAGCATCCGAGGAGTCCACAGAGACATTTGGTTTAAGCTGAAATGCTTGTTCACGAATTGCAAATGGGCTCATAAAATAACAAACCACATGTAAAAGCCCTCTCGCCTGTTGGTCTGGAAAGGAATAGCTTTGTTGTTGTTTCAAGGAATTAGTGAGCCAACAATGCAAAGCTTTGGAGTTGGTTACTGGGTTTTTACTGTAGTCTCTAGGAGCTAGACAAAGTTTGAAGACATTGTATGTACAGTACATCTTTAATAAGAAGGGAGTTCACAGTCTACCAAACGCTGCCAAATAAACTTTTAATACATACTGTACTTCACTCAGTAGTTGTCCATCTCTTCTTCATGGAGTATCTAACAGCTCTAAAAATATTTTCTTGGAAGAGGATAGAATTATAATTGTTATATATCAATCAAGTATGGTTAATGAAGCAAAGCCAGCATGCTAGTATTGCACAAGGGGAAAAGCCTCCAGAACACAAAGTGGAACAACGAATGCCCTCGAAATTCTGCTGAACAGGAAGCTCTGGATGCCACATCGGTAGGATTTGTGTAGCTCTTAGGCGTCCTTGTACCGCAGCAGGTTTGCTTTGCCTCTTCACTGCCACGTTTCTCTCTGAAACAGGTAAGGTTCTTCCAGATCATTACAAAAAATAAAAAGAAAATTTACAGCAGCTGCAGCAAAGTGTGGTACTTTTCAATTTCTTGAAGAGTGAGGCTTTTATTTCAAAATATCATATATTAATATATATATATTTCTATATATATATACTTTAACTGGTATAAAGTAAATTGTAGATCCAAACTTATACTGTTGTTTGTACTTCGCAATCTCGGAAACTTTACCAAAGGAACCATTTTCTTCATTTTTATTTTCAGCTGTCAAAAATCAGGGGCATTATTTCCACTGAATACTTTCTTTCACACAGTAAAGCCACTGTTGTTTTCTGGTAAACAGTCAAAGTGCAAATAAGAAATCCATTTGGCCTGTAAATGCTGAGATGGTTTTAAACTTTCAATACTTTGTCCTCATAAATCAGCAGGGCTTTCACTCTCTCCATGCAGACGGTGCTCTGTTAAGTCCTCGGGTGGATCTGCAGTAAGAAAGTGTGAAAGTCAGTTATAAAAAATATGTTATGACAGGAAAGAAAGACCTGGGCTTTGTGGTGCTTTGCTCTGCTCATGATACACCTGAATTAATAGTCACGATATATTGGGGTATTCTTTTCTCTTGGGGCTGCAGGGATTTAAGGATGTGCAACAGAAAGACCCTGAGCAAGACCCCTGGGAGATGCTGGATGTGCCTCCATCACTCAGGCTGGTGGTGCAGGAGATACCAGAACAGCTTTGGGCATGGGGCCATGCTCACCCCAGCCTTCTCCCTTCCCTTCTCAGAGTGATCAAAGAATCACAGTCACAGAATGTGAGGAGTTGGAAGGGACCTGGAAAGCTCCCCCAGTCCAACCCCTGCAGAGCAGGATCACCAGAGCACTCACACAGGAACACGGCCAGGGCTTTGGGTGTCTCCAGACAAGGACACTCCACAACCTCTCTGGGCAGCCTGGGCCATGCTCTGGCACCCTCACACTGACAAAGTTTCTCCTCATCTTCAGCTTGAACCTCCTATGCTCCAGCTTGGGACCATTGCCCCTTGTCCTGGCATTGGACATCCCAGAGCAGAGCCTGGCTCCTTCCTCCTGACACTGCCCTTTCCAAATTGATCCCCATGAATGAGGTCACCCCTCAGTCTTCTCTGCTCCAAGCTCAAGAGCCCCAGCTCCCTCAGCCGCTCCTCAGCAGGAGATGCTCCACTCCCTCCATCATCTTTGTGGCCCTGCTGGACTCTTTCAAGAAGTTCCTGTCCTTCTTGAACTGAGGGCCCAGAACTGAACACAATGTTCCAGATGTGGTCTCACCAGGGCAGATGCTGGTACTGTCTGGTAGACGTGCAGATGGATTCATCTGTCAAGGTTCATTTGGAGCCCCACCACCTCACTTGCCCGAAGAGGGGCAGAACAGAAGCTATAGCTATATAATAAATAATAGACTGGAAAGTCTGAATGACTTCATCTGCTCACCTCGGGTGAGATAACATGGCCTGCAGCAGAGCGTAAAACCATTGCTCTTTATGACTAACACCACAGTTGATCTGAGTGAGCACACTAATGGCTTGAAGAGGAAACACCACTGCCCAGAAGTGGGATTTTTTTTAGGATGCTGAAAGAGGAACGACTGACCAGAAGCAAAAATATCTCTCTTGAGAAGAGGCTTTTGTTTCTTTCCTGCGCTGATGAATGGCACAAGGGTCCAACCCTTTGCTGGATGACTAGGTCAGCAGTGAAACTCAAAATTACTTGAATACAAGCAGTCTCAGGCATTAAATCAGGGCTAAAAATTATTATCTAAGCAGTAGGTGATATGATGAAATGCAGTAGTAAGTCTTATAGCAAGAGATATTTACTATCTTGTGCTCTCTGCTTTGAACTGACCTCTTAATTACAGACACTGTTATCACAAAAGAGAGGGGTTTCTTTACTGCTCTGAAGAAAAACTTAATCTGGAAATCATTTGACATATTAACCTGGTTGGAAGGCTAAAAATAAAAGAAAACTCTGTGTTCATTTACCATCTCCTTCCTTCCCCCAGTTCCCATTTTCTGCTCTTCTGGTTTGTCACCAAACAGTGACCCTGCTGGGTTTTCTCTCTTGGGGATGAGCACCTCATTCCTCTTGTTTGTATGTTGCCTCAAGAATTTATGTGGTTAGTGGTGTAGGAGCAGGGAATGACAAGAGATCAAGGGGCTGTGGACACCTCCTGGTGCTATTGCTACTGCATGAGATGAGCAGTGGCTGCTAAGCAATGTGATGCTCTGGTCTCTCAGCACACAGTAAAATGGCCTGCATTTCTCTGATGGCAAAATGTATGGTAAACCAAGTGTCACTCTGAAAACTGGGAGATGGGTGGCTTTTAATGGAAGGTGCAGGCTGTGAAGCTGAAGAGGTGCTCCAAACTGAGCTACTCTGCCAGACCCCAAGTCCTCAACTCTTTAATTCCCATCCTCTACAGTATCAGCAGGAAAACAGCTTGTTGAAGTATTTAGAGGGCTGATACATGAATGCCAGGTGTTATTAGTGTGTATTACATCAAAAGGGCATTTTGCAGTGCAGCGTGCACATAAGGCCAGTCAGGAAGCACCATGCTCCTCAAGGGCCCTGCAAAGAGGTGCACAGAAAGCCATGTGTAGACACCAATCCAATGTCAAGAGCTTATGAGTGGGTACCTTGCTCAGATGGGAAGTGAGTAAACATGAGATGCATGAAGAGCCATATCTTTGTGTTTTTCAGCAGCTCTGGTTCTTACAGTTGTTTCTGTGCCCTTGTGAGCACCACTTCCCAGCATCCAGCCCAAGATCATGCTCTTGTATTTCCCCTGGTGCTGGTTGCTCTGCTGAAATGTAGTGAAGTGATCTCCAGCCGGGTCCTAGCACAGCCCCAAGAGCCCCACTTTTTTAAGGAAAGCACTGAAACTCATGTTCTTAAAAAAAAAAGTGAATAGGGATTAGTAAAAGCTTTGCAACTCCTACAAAAATTGAATTACAAAATGATTTCTTTCCAGTGTTTGTCACCTGCTCTTACCGTCAATAGAAAACAAATCAATTTACAGAGGCTGTGAGCTTTATATCTTTGGCTTTAACAACTTAATTAGTGAGCTATGCTAAAGGACTGAACACAGGAATAAATGTGTGAAAAGGAAGGAATGGAGGATGTGCTGGCAAAGCCTTCACTGAATCTGTTGTCCACCTTCTTTTGACACTAATCGGGATTAATCACATCTGAGAACCAAACATGAAGTAATACACTACACTTTAAAATTGTGTATATTGTGTATATACATGTATTCATGTACATATTTATATACACATACCCACATGCTTATATGTGATTTACTGTGGGCCTTAAAGAGTTTACGAATAGGTATTTTAATCCTGTGAGTCATAAATGTGAATGATTTCCTTGTCAGGACAGCAGCTGCCTAATGTCAATTTATTTTTTTTTTAAAAGCCTTCATTAAAACAGTTTACAGCTTACAGCCTATGAGGACTTGCTCTAGTTTTTTGGCTAATCACCACAGATCTATCTAGGAGTTGACTGATTTGTCTTGTTTCGTCTGCTTTCTTAACTTCCTTAACTATAAAAATGAGACACACATGGCCCAATCTTGCAGCCTGGACTGCGGGCAGTACAGATTACAGTGTAATCTCTGTCTCTGATGCCATCTGAAATGACAAAACAAAGAAAAAAAATGCCCATTTCAGGATCTGATTGCTTCTATTATTTCACATTTATGTTGCTAGACTTGACGCAGCAGTACAGATTCAAGCAAAGTTTCAGGGATTATGAAGTAAAATTTTTGCTTGGAATATGCAAGAGGCAGTCGCTAAGCACATCCTGTCATGTTGCCTTTGTCAATTGGGTTCTCTAATGATATTTTAAAGCAAGAAAGCACAATTCTACTGGAAGCAGCACCATAAGGTACTCCCCTCACCAGCTAATTAAAATAACTCCTGTGGGTAAATGAAGAAATATTTTTTCAGTTATGAGCGCTCGCTCTGTAAGTATTTAATTTAAATGAAGCACAATAATGCATACTGAATAGATTGGACCATACATCTGCATATTAATGAAGCAGCTAAATTTCTAGCAATCAGTTCTAGATGCAGGCTATCGTGTAAAACTAGTTTATATGATGAGGGTTCAGGGAGTTAAGAGCAGGACAATTTCACAGGAAAAAGCAAATGCAGCTCCTAAATTACATCATTTGCAGACTGCAGAATATTGAATTATTGTAATATAACAAAAGTGTAACGCACTTCTTTACATTGCTTGTTACTTCTTTGATATCATTTTCATCCCTTTCAATTCCCCAGTTCAGTGAGAAAACTGATGCAAAGGACATGTAGTAAGATTCTTCTTTAATTTGCACTGCAAGGCACCGGCACTAGGGCACAACTTTCTGGTTTAAAATTGTTGAATATAGGTAGAGGTAGCATAGGAAAATGGTCGTGAAACAATTGCACAGTGCAAAAGAAAAGCTAGAGTCTATTTATTAAAAACACCTTTTTTTCCCCAAAGGGAATATCATGGTGGGAGACGTTTGGCCAGCTCATTCACACTTTTGCACTTTGCAGATATATCTCTGCATTTCACTGGCAGTGCATGGTGATATTTGTCATCATCTGCTGGTCTGGGTTACCTGAATCTTCAGCATCTCAGGACTGTGTCACTAACAGGTACATTGGGCTAGATCTGCTCTGAAGGAAGACCCGAAATGCAGACAGTGAGTTGAGTCCTCAAGCTACAGAACATCTGTACAGCTGCTAATACAGATGTGGCCTGGAACAGCCACGTTACGGATGTAGCATATCCCTTTGATATCCCTAGCAGATCCCTTTGATCTAATATTCTACCCTTTGGCCACCACAAAGGGACTCTGTAATGTGCACTAGGTTTTCTTCTGAGGTGGCAATGTAAGAAAGTGACCTGGCCATCCAGCAGCTCCTACCTGACCTTTATTGAGCCTGGACCCAGCTGATCAGACAGAATCCATCTGATTTTTCACCTAATTATGGCCAGAAGTGTTCAATGGCTGGGGAGTTATGCAGTGATCTTTAAGACTTTTACAGAAGATATGATGATGGAAAAGATATGGGTGAGCAATCATTAGCGACTCCCTTTCCTATTAAGACCTCCTGGGTATAGGTAGAAAGATGACTTACTCTGGTGGTCTTGATTTTATTGCCAGTTGCACACATCCATCCAGAATTATCAGGCAACGTCTTACATTCCTCTCCTTCTAGGCAGGGCTCCATCTCACACCACCATTTCCCAATCACTATTGAAGCTAAAAGAGAAAAGACAATGTTCACAACTATGTTATAATGAAAAATCTAATTAAATAATATCTCAAGGGTCTAACGCTGCATTTAAGAGGCAGAGTGTCCCTTCTAAACCCTTCGATTGAAATTTAGTTGCAAGGACTTCACATTTAATTACTTGTTTTGCATCCTTTATTCTCCAAGAGACTGCACTGCTTGCCACAGCTGCTGTATAGACGAGATCTGCTTTGCTATCACACTGTGACTGCGGGGAATGCTGTGATGGCAGCAGTACTGCTTCAGACCACAGGACCATCCACCCCAACAGCCCATCTTCATCAGTGGCCAATCTGATCTTTATGGACACTTAGAAGCACAAAGCAAGTAGAAAGAGATTTTCCTCAGAATTTTCTCTTGGTCTTCGGGTCTTGTGGCTCAGGGCACTCCAGATTAAACAGTGTCTGTTTTGCTTTCAATAACCACAGCTGGCTTTTTCTTCCACAAATCTATGCAGAACTGTTTGAACCCATGCAGAGTTTAAGCTCTCACAGTATTCCAGGGCAGGGAGAAACTAGAAACAAAAGGTGAGGTAATACTGAACAGCAGCAGAAGTCCAGTTTGTTGAAATATGATTATGAATTTTATAGAAAGTGTATTATCTCTGTCAGTAACTTTTAATTTCCAAATATTTAACATTGTAAATAACGATAGTGTTTGGATCTTGTTTGAATTTAATTGGCACATATGTTTACAACCTTGAGTGTACCTTAATGAAGTTTCTTGCCTGGGAATTGGTATCTGCCTCTAACCTTAGCTGTATCTTAATGACATTTTTCATCTGGGGATTTTGATAAACTTTAGCTAACCTTGCAAAATGTGACTGGTTGGTGCATGAGTGACTCTGACTGTGGCTTGTTTTCCCTGGCAAGAATTAATTTCATAGTTGCACTCATGAAGCCTAACTGTCAAAGCTCCTTGCACACTCAGAGATGGTTAACCCATTCATATCACCCCACATGGCTGCTTCAAGCCCATAAAATACCTTAGGAGCAGCAGACTATGATGGTTAACTCATTCGTATCACCCCACATGGCTGCTTCAAGTCCATAAAATGCCTTTGAAGCAGCAGACCACTTTGAATCACACCATTTAGCTCTGAAAAGTGTCCTGTGTGCATGCTCTGATTTAAGGACATTTCAGACTTTGTAATTAAATTCTTGATTTATTTTTTATCTAGTTATAATCTTTTTATGCTCACAAAATCCTAAGAAAACACCCAAAGATGTATCTGCAGCTGCTACCAATGTCCATCCCCTTAATTCCCAGATACATGGATGAAGCAGATATTAGGAAAAAATATTCACTGAAAGGGTTATCAGGCATTGGAATGGGCTGCCCAGGGAAGTGGTTGAGTCACCATCCCTGGAGGTATTTAGGAGATGGGTAAATGAGGTGCCTAGAGATACGGTTTAGTAGTGGACAGGTTATGGTTGGACTCGATGATCTTAAAAGTCTTTTCCAACCAAATGATTCTGCAATTCTATGATTCTAAACCACAATTCCCTTTTTCTCTAATCTCTAACATATGACCAACCCACACGGAAAAATAAATGCATCAAAGCCACAGATACTCCTAGACTAAGAAGTGTGTATCACTATTGCACCTCACCATGCAAGAGGAGACTCTGCATGGCACAGAGAGCAGGAGACTGTAGAAGAGACTCAGCAAGTGACTAAAGACGGACTCTGGCATTTTCAACAACGCTCCTTGTTTTCAGGTTAGGAGAGGTGGGCACTAGGTAACCACAGCTCCAAAGTTATGTATCATCACCATTATCTACAGTTATATCCATCACTCTAGCTTACCAGACCTGCTGTTGTCCCACCTAAGCAGTGGACATTATTGCTTCAACCTTAGTTTACTAGGAATGGTAATTTACCCTTTGGATCTAGCTCTGAAAGCAGCTGCCTTTTCAGAGGACTCTTCCAATGTAGCATTTTGTTTTCCAGTGTGGTCCATGAAAAATGGTCAACTCTCAGCCACTTTTAACCATTCTGGCAGCCTCACATAATTACCTCTTCTCCTTAATGCTCCCCTTGCCCTCATCCAGCTTCCCTTGCTGCAGACTAACAACTGACGAACACACAGATGCAAGCACGTAGGTGTGCAATACTACAGATGTATATTTACAAATGGGAGGCTTAGGTACACATGCTTACACTCAAACTAAGCTATACACCATATTCTTTAGGTAAGAATATAACAGAGAGAAATAATTTAGACTGGTTAAATGAACACGAAGGTATGTTGTGCTGTTTTTTTATGTAAAGCTGGTAGCAAACTCTGGGAAATAAAGATGTTTTAGAGTCTGAAATCCTGTAAAGATGGTCAAGTATACATTCATTAAATTTCACTTTAATTTCCTTTAAAGCACAATTAAGACTTCCTTTGGAAAGGCGCCTCAGATAAGCTGGACAAGCCAGCCCCTGCCACATGGTTGATCAGAGTGGCATACAGTCAAGATATTCAGTGGGCCATGCTGGAGTGCATCCAAGTATAGCCAACTTCAGTGCAAAATAAACCAGAATGAGAATGGATATTTCTGGACCAGCTCAGTTAACTCTAATGGGAAGCAACTGCAGTTCAGGAGCCCAAGTCAGCATCTCTAAAATAGGCCTTCACTTGGTATGTGATTATACCAACAGACTTGCTGAACTGCCCCAACAGGGATGTGGTTTTCACCCACTGAGTTTACTTGAAATGCAGGAAGAAACAACTTAGGTTTGAAAGCTCCTTTGGTCTGGAAGAAGAGTTGAGTAAGTTGGAGCAAGTGAGCTAAGCTTAGAATAGAGTAGAACAGAATAGTTCAGCTGGAAGGGCCCTACAGCCATTGTCTAGCTCTCCGTGTTGTATTTCCCATTGCTTCTCACAGCTTATACCTAATTTTTACCATGTAATATATCATCTCTCCATAAGTACAACACACAAAAAAGCCCCTTTACACCTGCGTTTGCAAGGCAGTTTTATGATGCTATTCACACATCATTTTCAGAAGGGTATCATTAATGCTGCTAACAGTGGAGAGAAGAGATATCTCTCTTTGCTATGCATGAAAAGACACACTAGGGCTGAATCTGCACTCTAATAATAGATTGTGCAGTGGGCAAACTGAAAAACCATATCCTGCTAAATACTGGCCTTCACAGCAATCATCAGAGCAGAGCATCCTCCAAATACGTGAGAAGAATCCTGTGACGTGGAATCAAAAGTGATGATTACAATTATATACTAGTGGCATTGCTGCAGCATTAAATAACCGTGGAGACAGATCCTATGGTGCAAGGTACTAAAAAACCACAAAACCCAACATTCTGGCCTAGAGAGTTTACAATGTAAAGCAGACATGAGATGAATACAGACTGAGAGGCAGCATGGAGAAGCAATGCTGTTCATGGCAATTAAAATGATCTAACTACTTATTGATGCTGTTAAATACAGTCCAAGCATTTGGATGCCGACCTTGAAAAATAATCAGATGCAAAGTCAGTGCTGAACCTTAATGTCAACTGGTATAATACTGTGCAGGTTTCAGTGTATATAAACATAATAATATAATAGATGATATAAATTTGTGATCATAAGGTTACAAGGTAGCCCACCCAAGGGTCCATTAGTGAGCATCCTCATCTGTTCCTACCTGGTATAGCTGGGCCAGAGAGAATTTTCCTTTTATAAAGAGGGAAACTAAGGCCAATTGCAGATGAAAAGCACCTAATATGTCTCTAATATGTAAGTGGATAAAATTCTTTGTTAGTCTGAAGCACTACAAAGCTCGCTGTGGTCTCATTCTCAGCCCCGTGCTGAGGCAGGTGCATCCAGAGTCCAGCGAAAATTATTTCCTTTGAGTTTAGTGTTTATAGGTTTTCTCTTCTATTATAAGCCTTTTAATCTTTAGGACCAGCTGTCCTTCTTGGGCACTGCTGATCCTTTGAGGTCTACTTGATTTCAAAGTTTTACACCTCCAGCTCTGTTCAAAGAGGCCAGAAAAAGCTTTAAAATAAATCCCAGTTTGCTGCGTTTGAGGTTAGGTACACCTGTATGGGGAGGGGGAAAAAAGCTTCCCCAGGGAATACAATGTAACTTCTCTACATTTAGGTTACCTTGTTCTGAGATGTGCTGAAGTGGTTGTTTGCATTCAAGATCTCCCAGATCCTGAGGAACCTGAGCTTCTCAGTGGCCCAAATTGCTAATTCTGGATAAGAATTACAGACCCCCATTAGTCACCAGGCTGGGAGTGCTCACATCGTGCTGAATTAGATGGCTGTAACTTCTTGAAGAGGTTTTTACTGTGATGCTCTCGATGTCCAGGGAATACACAATGCATGCAGTTTTTTCATGCAAGGCTGATTTGACTGAGAGATTTTCCATGGGGAAAGGAAAAGGATGTGATATGAAAGAGGCTTGTTTGTGTTGTGGTTTGGGGTTTTTTGTTCCCCAGCTCCTGTTAGTGTAAATAAGAGATTGCTTATCACAGAATCACAGAACGTTAGGGATTGGAAGGGACCTCAAAAGCTCATCCAGTCCAATCCCCCTGCCGGAGCAGGAACACCTCAATGAGGTTGCACAGGAAGGCATCCAGGCGGGTTTTGAATGTCTCCAGAGAAGGAGACTCCACAACCTCTCTGGGCAGCCTGTTCCAGTGCTTCTATCTGAGTTCTTTTCAAGAAAATGACTATTTTGTAAGAATATGAAACTCTAAACATGTAACTAATGGAGCTGGAGAAAAGCAACTTTCTTCAGAAAATTATTGAGGTTTTTTTTCCAGTCCAATTCACAGTGTTTTTTTAAAATATTTGTTTCCAAAACTATAGAAAATTTTTGATCAAAATATTTACCTTTTAATGTATTTAGTCTGCATGGATTAACAGACAAAAAAGCATTTGGTTAAAATGACACTTGCTAACTGTTTGTACCAAACAGAGAAATAAGCTGCAGAGAAGAGACTTGGCA